AACTATTGCATATAGTTGTTATTCATGACCCATACTTTATTTTCTGGCACATTAATTGAATTATCAAATTGATAAACGTGTCACAACTCATGTCTTATCTTCTGACATGCTTATTTGTGCCAGCAAATCTATTAACTTTTCAGAGTCATATCTTATCTTATGATATTTATATTGACCAGCAAGTTGATTAGTCATATTGCTTACAGACAATACATATGTCAAATACAAAGAACAATTTAAGTGGAAAGACATACTACAAATTTAATTTCGAACAAGAACAATTTAATGAAAGACTGACTAACAATTTAACTAGAACAAGACCAACTTAAATGAAATACAAGCTAAAAGTTGAATACCTCCAATCACAACATACAGAAATACAAGGATGATTAAAACAAATAATACAACGTCTCAAAGTTCCATTTCTCTCGAATTACCTGACACATTTTTTCATGAAAAATACGTTGCTCTTTGGTCATGTGCTTGTGTCCCTCATTAAAATATCATAGTCTTTCCGACGATTTCTCTGCTTCTTCTCCTCAAGAGTAGCTTTTCTAACTTCAACTTCATCTTTTTTCAAGCTAGTTAACTCAGCAAGATGCTTAACCATGTTGTTGTATTCTGTGGCCATCTCATCAAGGTTAGATTTGCCTTTGCCCTTGGCCTTTCGTTTGGCTATCTTCTGCCCGATGGGCGAGCCACTTCATGAAGTTCATCTAAGTCAATGCTTGCATCCCCATTTGATGAAGTATTGCTGGCACTAGACTCATCAATTCTCATCTTTTTTCTCTCAACAAAAATATCATTAGAACACTGTGGGGTGTACATAGGACGATCTTTAAGGATTCTCCATATACATGCTCAGGATTGATGGCTACACCTCATTCTCAATATGATATTTTTCGTAAGCCCGACTTAATATATCCTCATCACTGCAACCACTTCGATAAACACTATAAATACTGTTATAGAACTCATTGAATGGATACACCTTTTTTTGAATTGTATTATGCCAGTGAGATCTTATTATATTAGCATTTCTATGAATATAGTCAGTAAGTGTATTTTCGTTATAATAATTTGCAACACGTACCCAAAACGCTTCGGCCTTCTGATCATTATCGGTAATTGGATCGTCACTTATTGTCACATAAACTTTTTCCAATTGCACATCCTCTTCCTTTGTCCATTGTGGACGTTTTTTCTCGCATTGCAGCAACACGTGTGTTTTTTGGGATTTCAACATTAATAGTTGCTTCACGATCCTAGAATTGTGTTTCTAGAATGTAAGTTTGAGTATCAGGTTCTTTCCTCATTTGGGATCCAGAAGATTGACTCGATTGTTGCGGAGAAGATTGCACCAGATTTTGACTACTCATGTGTTGCCAATATTCAGGCGGCGGGTTTTGAAATAAAAATTGTGGAGGATATTGTGAATAATGAATATTGGTGGAATTTGGATAATTTTGAGATTGTTGTTGCATAAAACGAAAAATTGACGGGAATTGTGGAAAAAATTGTGCAGGATAAAGAGTTTGTGAAAATGGTAAATTCTGCGGAGTTCGTGAATTTTGGAAGAATGAAATTTCATCTGGACTGCTAGGATTAGAACTTGAGAAATTTTGAAAATTTTGTCTATTATTCGGATCCATTTTTTTAGGCAAATGAATAGTTGCAAGATTTTCTGGTATAAGAGAAGTGAGAAATTTTTTGGTGCAAGAGATGTGAGAAACGGAAGTGTATTTATAGGCAAAAAATGGGGATAAGAAATATAAATTATTGATACATATTGAGAATTGTGATATAGATAAAATTTGAATTTATCGGTATTGGAAAGTGTGATATAGATAAAAAATAGATAAAATATAAAAAGAAAAAGAAAAAGAGTTTAATAAATATTTATTTTAAAACAAAAAATAAAATAAAAATAAGCATGCTGCATGCTTTTTATAAAATAAGATTTTTTTTTTAAAAAAAAAGAATAAAAAAAAAAGGGTTCAACAAGCGTTCAATCCACTTAACGTTAAAGTGCCCCCCGCACCCCTTCAATGAACTAGCCACATCCGAAAACGCGGGGGGCCGTTTAAATGCATATGAATTAACGGGCGATGCGAATGCCCTTAGCTGTCGTCATTGTTTGGAGTTATTTTCTTATCCTTATCAGTTATCACTAATGAGTGGTGTAAATTTGTTAGGGTTTGAAACAAAAAGATATTCTTGGATATTCTTTAGGATTATATAAATTGCTCAATAGTTGTAGCAGCCACACTGATTCTGATGTAATCTCCATTGAACAATTCGAATTTATCATGAAGTTATTTTCTCGTTACCATATGCATGAAAATCTGCATAAATTAAAGTTCATCACTTGAAAATTGATAAATGAAAAAGAAGCCAAGAGAAATTTGTTGGGAATCCGACCACACAGAAACTCCGCCCAAGATCTACTAAAAATAATAAAACTGGAGAACACAAAGTTTAACGTGGAAAACCCTCTATTAACAAAGAGGGAAAAACCACCAGGGCAACAAGGCCGTAGAAAAATCCACTATGTAAAAAAAATTACAATCAAACAATTTTTCTACACTCACTTATACCTAAATTACCCCACAGAATTTTCTATCCGTTAACCTTAACTCTCACCCTAAGGAATTTTTAACCAGAGATTAATTGTTAACACAATAACTCTGTGGGATGATTTAACATAAGAAGTAGCACCTTCTTATATAGGGAAAAACCCCCCCCCCCCTCCCCCCTCTCTCATCTCATACCGATGTGGGACAAAAGAGCAAAAAACGGAACAAACTCTACCTTGCGTTTTGGCCTATCTGACAGCCTATTCACTTTGATGAAGTTTTTCATAGGTTTTGCTATCATGCTCCACCATAAAAGCATATCCACTCGGACTTGTATCCAACATTTCTTCGGCCCATGTCGAAATAACCTTGCTGAAATCTGTGGTGCAACCTCCACGTTTGGCTTTCCTAGAAGTTCATCAGCCCTCGACACGCTTTTTCCACCACACACCTTGCATCACCGCCAAACCAATGCCCGTGTGTAAACTGTGGACCCGCTAATTGTAACACGTCCTCTTTCATGACACTTAGCGACATGCCATAAGGACTCCCCTTTCCCTCTTAGCAAAACTCATCCATGGAGAGAGAGAGAGACAAAATTAGCTTCTTCGGTATCTCCACTTACCGACTTCGAGCTTTTTGCCGAACCTGCTCCTCCTTTTGGACAATTTCTTTTCACGTGCCCAGATTGTCCACACGTCCAGCAAATCACAACTTGCTTCTTCCTGGAGTTCCTCTTCTTTCCGTCACCAACGAGCATGACTTGACCTTCCGGTGAATTATTTCGTCCACCATCTAGCCTTCTCTCTTCCGCAAGAAGTTTACCAGTGACTTCAGAAAATACAATTTTCTCCTTCGCATGAATCAAAATCGGCTTCATGTGTTCATAAGAAGTTGGAAGAGACCAGATGAGTCTCAACGCCTGATCCTCATCATCAATCTTCATTCCAATAGATTCAAGCTCCGAGACGATCCCATTAAGAATGATTAAGTGGTCTGAGATGCTTTGACCTTCAGTCATTCGCAGTGTGTGAAACTGCTCCTTCAGATACACCCGATTTGAGACGCCTTTAGCCTGATACAACTCCTCAAGCTTGTCCCATAATGCTTTTGCCGTCGAAATTCCATGCACATTAGCAAGAACATTCTTGGCCAGACACAGTCGTATCGCGCTTGCCGCTCTCAAATCCAGTTCCTCCCAATCTTCATCGCTCATTCCAGATTTGCTCACACCAGCTTTTTTTTCAGTGCTGCTGGTAGCACTGCCTTTGGGAATTTCCGAGCCCTTCAAAGCTTTGTGTAACCCCGACTGAATCAGCACGTCCTTCACTTGCACTTGCCACAAGCCAAAGTTGATTTTTCCGTCGAATTTCTCCACATCAAATCTCGCCAGATTCGATATCTTATTTCCAGACATCTTCGTAAATTAGTGAACACTAACTTCGCAGAAAACCAAGCAGCAACCTTGAATAGTACTGATCAGATAAATTCTCAGGGAGGGTAGCGACCTGCCCCCTAAAGAATTACCCTTCTAAGTAAGCTCCCAGGAAAGGCTGGTGGGGTCACAACGGTCCCACTTAAAAAACCAGTCTCCTAGACAGAACCTACTTACACAGTAATTATTCCCCACTGCCCAAAAAAACTCCTCTGCACACAAGCTCCACCCGTCACTGGCTCCAACGCACGAACAGACCTCTTTAGTATCTTTTTTGATGTGGAAGATCAGACAAAACTGCAACCTCAGAGCATACTCATAATCCCAACTAGGCTAACCTCGCTCTGATACCACTTGTTGAGAATTCCGACCACACCGAAATTCCTCCCAAGATCTACTGAAAATAATAAAACTGGAGAACACAAAGTTCAACGTGGAAAACCCTCTGTTAACAAAGAGGGAAAAACCACCAGGGCAACAAGGCCGTAGAAAAATCCACTATGTAAAAAAAATTACAATCAAACAGTTTTTCTACACTCACTTATACCCAAATTACCACACAGAATTTTCTATCCGTTAACCTTAACTCTCACCCTAAGGAATTTTTAATCAGAGATTAATTGTTAACACAATAACTCTGTGGAATGATTTAACATAAGAAGTAGCACCTTCTTATATAGGGAAAAACTCTCTCTCCCTCTCTCATCCCATACCGATGTGGGACAAAAGAGCAAAAAACCCAACAAAATTCTCAAATGGCAGAGTGAGTAAAACTACATAACATAAATTCATCAATTTGTAGCTCAAAAAATCGCCAATATGAAGGAACCCATCATCATCACAACAATAGAAAACCAAGTTAAAGAGGGAAAGGAGTAGGCAAATTTCTGTAATAAAAAGGACGAAAATGCCCCTCACCAATTTTTTTTTTCTTTTTTTTTTTTCCTGACAAACGAGCTAACAACCAAAAAAGAGAAAAAAATTGGATATTAACATGAATAGAATGAGAGAAGAGAAGCTGGAGGGAGGGGACGCCGGTGATGGCTGTGTCCTCCACCGGCGCCGGAGTGCTCTCTCCGAATCCGCCATCGGAGGTGAAGAAAATCGTCTACAGAGCAGGGGAGAACGAGTGGGCCGGACGCGTTGTAGCCATAGACTTCGCGGGCTTTGTCGAGAAGAATCTGAAACAGAGGATGGTACAGATATGAGATTGGGATCGAGAACCTCTGAAAGCCGTTGTCGTCGTCCTCCAGCCCCACTTGTACCGCCACACATCCTTTCTTCACCTTCATCTTCTTCTTCGCGTTCATCTTCATTTCTTTTTTGGCTGTTGTGTGCTGTGAGTGTGGAGTTAGCTGAATTTATAGTAAGGGCATGTATAAAGTGGTTTGAACTTTGATGATGACTTGACGAGTGTAATATCCTTTCCGACCAAATAAAAGTATAAAAGTTATTACATATCTAGAATTTGGTTGGTAAAATTGTTATGTGTCACATATTAACCAGTTCTATTGATTATATTTTTAATGTAAACTAAATGTTTAATATAAAAAAATGTCGTATATTTTATTTGTATTATTTTTATTAGCATGACATTTTAATTTGGAATTGTACATATCTATTAAAAAAATTATGTATGTCTTATTAATTACTGATTTAGTTTAAGGAAATTATGGGATAATAGTGACAAATTTATTAGGAAAGATATAACATTGCTACACATATATATTAAAGTTATGGTGCGATTGGTTGGGGTGATAAGGAGAGATATCACACACTTTGTTAAGCATTAACAATTTTTATGCCGTTTGGTTGAACATGGCATGACCCTGAAAAATGGCATGGCCCGCTCTAATTATCCTTCAGTTTGTTTATTTCACATCCGACCAAATTGGTGAGATACAGTATATAAAATCACTCAACAATTCTAACTTCCTAAAATATACTGAAATTTTCTTCGTAAAATCCCTAATTGCTTCCTTCATCTTTTTTTCTTCTTTTTTCCAAAGCGTCAGCATTAGGGCTGAGCACGGGTCGGTTCGGAGATCCAGAAATCTCCAGAACCGAACCGAAATTCGGAGATTTCAAAAAATTGATCTCCGGAACCGAACCGGTTCTAATGAATCTTCGGACCGAACCGAACTGAAAATTTGGTTCGGTTCGATCCGGAGATTCTGTTCTAATGGGTCGGTTCGCTACGGCTCGGAGATTTCAGAGATTTTGGAGATTTTTTAATTTTTTTATATATAAAATCTTCTAATTGCATGTTAGATGGTACATATCATGGATGAAAGAAAATCATACTCCTATCTTAATTTCAAAAGATATTTCGTCAATTAATAGTAAGAATTGGTGGTTGAAAACTTTTTTATTTTATAAAAAATTGATAATTATCTTTTAGTTGCAAAATATCATAATTTAATTTGAAAGATTTATATGCTAAACGTTCATATGCCAAAAAATTCGCAAGTGATAAGACTACATGAACAATAGTTTATTTAAAGATAGTTACTTGTTAAATAAAATGGTATTTTAGAAATATATTATGTCTAAATAAATTAATCTCTTCCAGCCGATATAGTGAGATTCAGATATAGTACATATAAAGTTTATTTTCGAAAAGTGAAGATATTTATTTTTATTAAATAAAATAATCGGTATATCCGTTCTTAATCTAATATTATGGTAAAGATATCTTTCAAGTTATTTTTATTTTAGAATATATCACCTTTAAATAAATAATTTTCTCCAAGATTTCTGAAAGACTTAAGTCATAAAGGTCGGTTTCCCAAATATTCGGTATTTGAATTTTATTAAGTTATATTTAATAATTTTCTTAATAAACTATTTGACATGTTGGCTATCAAATTTTGTAATAGGAAGAGTATATTAATTTAATTTTCTTCTTAAAAATTTAATTCGAAAATGAGATCTTAGATTTAAGTGTCTCATAAGTAGTACCAAAATAAAATAATTATTTTCTCGTTTTTAAATTATGTTAACATTCAATAGTGGATGTTTTTTCGCAACTCAATTTGAAATATAACTTATGATAGTTTTATGGACATATACATAACGTATAGATTTTATTTGAATACAATTATGTTTAAAGATGAAAAAAATACATATGATACAATATAATATATATATATATGGATTTTATGAATTAGAATCGGTTTTTGTTCAGTTCCTCGGTTCGGTACGGTTATTTTCGGTTCGGTTCGGTTCTCGGTACGAATATTTTATGAATCTCTAGAACCACCGAAAAAAATTTCGATACAGTTCGGTTCGGAGATAGTCAAACAGTCAACGAATATTTTTCAGTTCGGGGTGAATTCAGTTCGGTTTTCGATACGGTTTGGTAATCTACGAGACCCGTGCTCAGCCCTAGTCAGCATCCCAACTTCATCTCTAAAAAATTCCCAAAAATCCTCCCCATTTCTTTTTTTTTTTCCCAATTTTCATCCTTAAATTCTCACGGCAAACAAAATTCCCGAATTTCTCAGCAATACAAACAGGTTTCAAGAAGCCCTGTTTTGCAAATTCGGACTGAGGTCTGCTCTGACTGCTCCAATCGGTTCTTCTTTAAATCCATCAAGACGAGCGCCATCCTCGAGCAGGTTAAGTTCTTCGGCCATCCTCCAAGCGCTGGGCCCGCTACAGTGCTGGTGGCCGTGGATTTCTAAATTCGATCTGCAATTTCATAGACTTGGTGTCAGAGACGGTGGATGCCACAGGCTAAGATGGCGGGCTCGCCACGACTTTGGTGGCTGTGAATTACCGAAGCCTTGGCGGCGGTAAAGTGTACAAAATTTTTGGGTCTTGTGTATGCGATTTGATGAAGAAGGATGGAAAATTAGAGTTATGAAATTTATTAATATCTAACCAAACATGCTAATAAATTGTGTAGATAGATGTAATAAATGACATGGGAATTAATCAAGTCCATAACATTATTGTAACCAATCACACCCTTAAAGTATAATTATCCACCAGAAAGCAATGTATCTAAGAAAAAATCCCCCATATGTATAATTGTAGATTCCCATGATTCGAAATACTATGTGACAAAAAATCATGCTTCAAAGTCAGGTTGGGACATAAATTAATATTTTTATAGAAAATAATTAGGCTTAAATTTCTTTTATATTTGTATTTTAATATTAAATTCATATTAATATCTTTCTTCCTTTTTTATACAATTAGTTACCATATATATTTTATGTTTTCATTTCTTACATTACCATATATTAATATCTATTCTTATTTTCTTACATACAAAAACACCAACTACTTAC